CTATTGATTCAGGCGACACTGTGTTGGTGTTTGACTAAATGGTTTCCAGAGGAGGTCTTTCTATGGTTTATTAATGAAAAAGCGGAAATTGTTGAAAAAGGAAGGCCATCATCTGAACTTCACATCACAGGGAAAAAAAACTTTTGTTCAACTTGTTCCATTGCTTATATTTCAGATAAATCTGTGAACCAGAATGTAATTTCTTTTGCCCATACCTTGTAGTTAATGGCACTGGGTTCCACAGAAGGTATCAATCTGGTTCTTGCTGGAAATTGGAATTGTAATGCATTCAGATTAATCATTTGCATAAAGTAGTTTTAAAGAGGCAATTTAGGAAAACTGCAAAGTACACAATTGAAATACATATTTGAACTGTTTTACCTGCAAAACTATTTATAATTCTGTTACAATTTTGGCATCATACTGCTTCACACATCCCTGCTACTGCATAAGCAATCAGAGTGACACCAATATGCAGAGATTTCACTTTCCCTTGTTGGTACACATACTCCAGCTTTTTTTTACTGGACTATGAAAGAACATAACACTTCTGAGGTTCTTTCCCTTTTAGTTCTCAGTTAATGAACATGAGTGGATCTCTGAACTGCACAGTTCAATACATTGTGAATGATTTAAGACCATGGACGGACCCCCCTGTGTGATCAAGTAAGATCTGTATATTCTGTAGGGCTGTGGTGCCAAACATGGTGCCCCCACAGCTGGCCCTAGGGTGCATTCCTTGTGGCACACAATGTGGGGTGCAGACATTGGGGATAGAGCTAAGGTGTGTGTGTGTGTGATTGTAGAAAAGGGTGTTATCTGAGCAGGTGGCCCACTCGGAGTTCTACCTCAGTTAAATCGGTTTCAGTCTCTGTTTATTCTACATAAGAGAGCTTCAGAGTCATGTGCTGTGAGCAGCTGATAAGGTCTGATCACTCAGACACTGCTAAATCCCTACAGAAAATAAGATGTACTTTTTACAAAGGGTTAGAATCCTTCAGTTAAAGAAAAACTCCAGGATTTTTTTTATTAACCCTTGCAGTGGGGCTATACTAACCCGATACCCTGAGCCGGTTTCTTCTTAGATGGGTCCAGTGTCTCTCCCCCTCCTCCTGCAGCGGTCCAAGGTCCTGTAAACCATCACGTTCTATATACTGTGTATAGAAGTGAGGACGCTGAGGAGGATTCCAATGTGCTACAGAGAAGGAGACAGGCTGGACGGAGAACTGTGACAGCTGGCCTGCTCGGAGCTTCGGGGGGAGTATATCTTTGTCGCTAGACACAAACGAGCACTAAACCCTTGTAGTGCGGGGGTAACGCCACTGCATGGGGTAGGGAAAATGTTTTCCTGGAGATCTCCTTTAAAAAAAAAAACTAGTTGCAATTGTTTAGTTGTGCACATAACTGACAATAAAAACAGATAAAATAGTCCACATGTAGTACATGTATCAACAGAAAAACCCTGCTATGAATCGAAAAGAGAAAAATGACAAGCTCTATTCAAAATCTGTAGTGGAGTCTGAGCAGTGCGGTTTAATACACTGTAGTATAGTTCAAGACTAAGGCCCCCTTCACACCAAGGCGGCATCGTTTTTGCGTGTTTGTACACACGGGTTCCGCAAGCATCTTTTTGCATGTTTGGCACATTTTTACACGCATGAACACGCACGTACATGAAGACACATGTTTTTACTGGCAGCTTAAGAAACATTGTGGTCAACGGATGAACGTGCATACAAACGCGCACGAAAATGTGCAACATGCTTCTGACACACGTTTTCTGACGTTTTCATTAAAGTCTATGGGCGAAAAAGAAGCTTGTGTACTTTTTTCTGCATTTGGAGTTTTGCTGCTCGGGGTGTCAACAGGAGTCATTGAAAATCATGGGATTTCTTGAGTTGGGCATTTTGAAGCGCTTTTTCTACTGCTCGGAAACATCAAGGTGTTTTCAGACCTAAAGCATTGTATAGATTATGGTGGCACACAGATTTCAATAATCGCTAGCACTAAATTACAAAACCTGAGAGATAGAATTCATAGGGCATAATATGCTGATAAAAGTTGAAGTACTTAAATTGCAGAAGAGGAACCTCTATCAAGGATAAAGCTAGACTGTATCTATGCTGCTCTTTATTGCCACATCACATGTCATAGCTCCCTAGCAATTTCAATATTAGTAGTTAGGAAACTCAGACTGGAATTCACTTTTCTAGATAAAATAAAATGTTACCCTTTTTTTGTATACAAATAAATCATTTATTTTTATTGTCTGCAAAGTGTGGTGTGCAATAGCAGCCCATGTGGCTGCTATGGGGCCCCATTAGGTGGACTGATTAGGAAAAACTGAAGTTTCCAGTATAGAAGGACTGACGTGAGACCTTAGGATCATTTAGTCACAGATCCCCCTCTGTGTAGTAGAAACATTTGCTTATGTATCTTAGCAGTGTAGATTAAGGCCCCATTTACACCGGATCCGCTGTGCTGCATTAGCATCTGTTTTAAAACAGATGCTAACACAAGAGCAATGAAAAATGAATGGGTGTGAATGGGGCCAGTTCGCACTGCTCTGTTGCGCTGAAAAATGTAGAGCATGCTCTATTTTTTTTTTTTTTCCAGCGCAACATGCCAAGAACCCATGCTAATGCAATGCACAGGAATACAGTAAAGTATATCCACTCAATACATGTTAATTCACATAAAGATTGACTTGTGAGTACTTGTGAGTACCTTCTGAATTTAGTGTGAAAGGGCCCCTATTCTCTGACCTTTTGCTACAGACTGAAATGTACCCTGTATGCCTAATGCAGTCATAAGTCTCGAGTTTCACCTCTGTTACCCACTTGAAGACCGGGGTGTTCAACCCCCTTTCTGTCCAGGCTATTTTTCAGTATTCAGCGCTGAGGTACTTTGACATTTATTCCGTCATGCAACGCTGTACTGAAATTAATTTTATTCCATTTTTTGGGGACAGATAGAGCTTTTATTTGGTCATATTTAATCACCACTGGGGTTTTTATTTTTTACTATAAAGGAAAGATTGCGACACCAAACATGTCAAGCCTTAAAATTGCACGCACCCGCGAAACTGCAAAAAACAACAATATACAAAATTGCCCATAGGCCACAATTTAAAAGCTTTTACCACTCAGAAGTTTAGTGTTATCAGTGATTGATGACCGTAGAATTATTGCTTGCACTCCAACATTCACTGTGATATGTAACATGTGCAATATAATTGTCATTTGCACGTGTTGGCGCAACCAAAGGGTATTTTCGTATTTTTATGTGCTTAGACTTAAAATATAATTAAATCATTTTTTATATGATACTTTAATTATTATTTTTTTACACTTAATGTTATTGCTATCACAAAGGGGGCTAACAACCCCCTGCACAGGCACACTGACAGGTCCTCTTTATGGAGACATTAGGGGCCTCTAAGACCCGTAATGTCACTTGGGGACCCCCAAAGAAGCTGACAAAGCATATCTGCTTCACCAGCTTCTTCTCTTCTGGCTATAGCAGCCAGAGAAATGACAGCTGAAAGCGGAAGTGGTATAATACACACCACTTCTGCATTCAGAGAGGAGATCAGCAGGTGGGAGAGTGCTGATCTCCCTCCGATCTTAATGCAGAGAGCCGCCGAGCCGGACCCACAGGGGACAGCGGAGACCGCGATAGCCAGTAACAGTGGTGGAGGAGGGGCGCACACTGTTGGCCACGGTACAAGCGATCGGACAACTATAGAGCCGCTCAAACGCTTGCATGTAACAGCTGTTGACGGCTGTTTACAACTGTCTGTGTGTTCTGCTCGCTCGCATGCGAGCAGAAAAAAATTATTTTCAGTGCGCAGACAGCAGGTAGTTAAAACCTTGTAGGACTGAGTTTCTAAAAAAAGTTTAATGAAGCTAGAAGTTAAAGAAGTTTGTATTAGGGTTGAAGAGTAAGCATGTGCAAGACCATTATTCATAACATATATAATAGAAAATATCATTATGGTTATTATTACTGCTATAACTTTTACCCCCAGCACTGCTCCCTAGTAGGGTTCTGACTATGCTGACAGCTCTTCCACTGCCTGTCCTTGGTAGTTCATGTAAAGATTGTTGACACATTGCAACAGTTGACACTGCCAGCTTCTACAGAGAGAGTTGGGCAGTGGGCACCAAAGTTTTGCTCTAGGGCCCCGTGAGTTCTAGTTATGCCCCTAGCTGGAACTATTTTATTTTTTTTTAAATCGAGCCAATGGAAAATGAACAGATAAAGTAAACTACAGTGAAAGTAAAATAAATGTTTACACTGAACTTTCACTGCTTCTGTTTAAGGATTGCTAGAGAGCTGTGACTTGGGAAAAGGAACAATAAAGAGGTTACAATAGCCTCTATGCACCGGTACTCTTACTGTAGATGTGATACTTCCACAGTCATAAAAGATCTTCAGCGCTCATGGCAACCCAAGACATAATTCAACACACAGCTAGTGTGTGAAAGTCTTCACCAGGGATGGCAGCTCTCCACAAAGAGTATGGGATATCCTCCATATAGCATGCCAAAGCAAAAGAAAGAAAGCGTTTTTCCCTTGTGTGATATAGTAACAAAAGCATTTATTAAATATCATTCAATTTACTCATATGACACTAGAGAACGACATGCATCCAAACACAACAGTGGTAATTGTGGAACTGGTACTGCAAATGACACCATAAAATGAGTGTCCAGCTGACCAATGCTGACTATTCAGAACAGCAATGTGATAAGGCTGAACACGTTTTCAGGTACACACCCTCTTCCTCATAGCCATCCTGAATGTGTTTTCAGGGACATGTCCCCTTCCTCAGAGCCATCCTGTATGTAAAGTGAATTACATTTAGCAATTCTAAAGACTCTATACCCAGCCTCATGCTGTCTGACTTCATCATAAACTTCACACAGTTTGCCTGTACTACAGTTTGTGTGTTCCTGCATTGTATTAGTCTTACACTGATTTTTTTTTTTTTACAGGGGTCAGATGATTTCTGGAGAAGACTGTGAATTTATTTTAAGGTTTGAAAAATCCCTTGCTGAAGAGAAGAAAGCAATCCTAACAAATGAAAGCAATCAGGTAAGATTTACTTAATCAACTGCTATAGTTGTCAGGAGTCACATGCAACTGGTTTTGATTGTAATGTTTCATCACTTATCAAAGTGCCTTCCTCAGTTTACCTGAGTGCCAGGAACATATCTATCCCAGCATTAATACCGATTTAGACAGCTTAATCCAATCTTTAGTTTACATTAAACCAGTCAGGTTTGATTTGAAAAAAAATCAGGTATGATTAAAAAATGTAAATATGTCTTGCTCTAATTAATATAATCCCATGCCCATGTTGCCATTAAGTCTTGGGCAGGCGTTAATAGTTTGTTTGAGTAAAGCTGTTAAAATGGATTTATCAGACGGGAACAATCATCCAACACTTGTTGGTTGTGGGCTTTCAGCACTCACATATATTGCCGTTTTGAGATCAATTCATACCTTCAGCCACATAATTGAAACATTTCACACTTGCCCCAGATCTCATGGAATGTAGGTTCTATGATGTTTTTAAACTCATTTGAACAAAAAAAAGTCACTTTGAGGGGAGAAACAATGTCCAACATTAAAACATAAATCCAGTTCAGCGTGACTACTTCTTGCTGTTCCATGACCTTGATAAATGAAATCCTTTAGGGCTAGTTCACACCAATTGAGTTGCATTGCAGAGCAGAGAAGTTACAGACCGGATCAAAACTGCATCTAATGTATTCCAATGGTATTTTGGGCTCTAGTTCACACCGCAGCGTTCAGTTCCAGAGCATGTAAAAAAAAAACTGCAGCAAGCCCTATTTTTCCTGCTCTGGAACGCATGCAAATGCATCAAAAACGCATGTGAACGCACTGGAAGTCCATTCTAGGCTAAAAAAAACACTTTTTTTTTAGAGACAAAAACGGCCTGGAACGCATCAAAAACGCGGCACAACGCACTGCGTGTGCAGAAACTCATGCCGATCTGGTCTGCATTTGGTGTGAACAAACCCTTAGACAAACCTGCCTGCTTTAAATATTTCAGAATAGCAGGATATTGTATAATGTTTATTTAACCTACAGCTAAAGTTCAACAGTTACTTTGTATTGTGAGGTGTTAACGCCTGCTGTAGAATTCAGCAGAATAAACTGTTTTTCATCTTTCTGATGGCATGGAACACTCTTGAGAGACTGGCTGGGGAACTCCTACCAGTTGGTTGGATTTCATGAATGAGGCAGGCATTCCAGCATGTTTATGCTTTGGTGCATGGTGTAATTGTTTAGGTTAATATTGTTTGGCTGATTGCTTTTGTTAATCCCAAAGGAAACCTTCCATTGGTTTTGAAAAGCATCCCTCCACTTGACAAGTATAAACCAGCACACAACATTAAGATTTTTAACGTAGTTTGTGTGTTAATTGCTTGAAAAAATACGGTCAGTTTTATAAAGGTAGACAGAAAATACTGTTTAAAGGACAACCAGCAGAAGCAAGTTCATGATTTGTAAGACTTCTAAGTTTGTGGACCCTGAACACACATTACACCAAGGGCTTAGACATCTTCTTGACTTGCCCCTCATCCTGAAGCTAAGCCCCACCCTTAGCTATTCAGCAGTCCAATAGGAGAGCCTTCACTGGTTATTGAAGCTCACACATTTATATTGCTGAATGATAGAAATGGGGCTGAGCACTGGATGGACACAGCTTAAGTCTGGTAGAAGTCCTGCACAGCATTCAGGGTCTTCACACACTCAAAGAAAAGTATAAATGTTGCAGATTAACAAATCTACCTGCAAGCACAACTAGCTGGCTGCACTTTCACATTAGTGTTAGTATTGTCTTTCTACCAGCCTGACGGGTTTAAGCAGCCAATTTGTAGTGTTAAATCACACCCAGCTAATACTGCAATACTAGTTTTGAGTGCACTCCTGACTGGTCCATTATAACCCAGTTTAAACCTGTGATGCAACCAGTTTGAAAAAACTAAGGTTAACTGAGCAGTTGGTCAATAATGGAGTGCATAATGTTTCTTTACAAATCTGAACGTTTTAATTTCTATCATCCTTTAAATATGTTTTTTCTTAACAGTGTGCTAAAACCTTCATTAACTTGATGACCCACATTTCAAAGGAGCAGACAGTGCAGTACATTTTAACCATGGTGGATGACATGCTCCAGGTAAGAAGCAACTGCACCTTTGCCGGCTTGTCTCTTTAGTTCAGCTACACTTAAGTGTTTCAGTTATCAGCATACTTGTATTGAGCATAATTGTATAACATTGTGCAAATATGTGTTCTTTCAAAATTCTCTGGCTTTTTTTTTCTGATCCTAGACCTTTAACTTCTGGTACGTTTGTTTACACAGAACATTTTTACAATGCCATTTGTAGAAATGTATAAATGCAGTACACCAATCGAAAAAAAAGATTATTTATTATTATTATTAGGGATTTATTTAGCGCTTTACAAAACTGAGGCAGACAATACAATTTCAGTACAGTAGGTAGGAGGGCCCTGCTTGTGAGAGCTTACAATCTTGTAGGAGAGGCAAGTGATACAAAAGGTAATAACGGTTTGGGATGATTTAATGGAAGAACTGAAAGGGCGGTTATATCAAAGTGGAATAAGCTTCCCTGAAGAGATGAATTAGAAGCTTTGCGTTGTCATTTGTTAAAAGGTATGAATGTTGGAGGTTACAGAGGTTGAGTTGGCAAGATTTGGATATTGATTTGGAAGCCATGGGAGTTTATCAACCGACCCAGGGAAGAGGTGTAGATGGAGAATAGAAGGGGCCCAAGGTCAGAGTCTTGTGCATTTAGTTGTTTGTTTGGGGTCGCTTTTTAAATGTGCATCTGTGATTTGATATTAGAATCCCACAATTATATACATCAAATCCTTACCAGGTGAAAAGATCTGAGCAGCCAATTTATGTTCTTGCTGGTGCCTTTGTTGTATAAAATGAATATTCATTTATATTATTGCTGGGACAATGGGTTTGTTCCTTGCCCTTATCACTTTGACTAATGATGACATTTTAATTAATCTGTAAACAAACAAGCGGAACTAAGATTCTAATTTGCTTGATTGATGTCTTTTGATAATAAGGTCAATTTATATACATTGTGCACAATGTTTCTTCTTTTTTTTTTCACATTGATTATTTTTTACTATTCTTACCAGTCTGCGTCACAGCAAAAAAGGGTTACCAGTTAAAGGACAACAACATTATGTATGCAAATATGTAAATTATTAAAGTGATGCCACTGGGGAAATACTTTTTTTATTTGCAGTTCTGGTCGAAGCAGATATTTCTCTAGGGTATCTCCTGTTAGTCAGGGGGAGAACATTTTGTAATTATAGTCTATAGTCTAAGGGAAATAATGAGCCTATTAGGGCTGCAACCAACTAATCAATAATGAGAATAGTTGTCAACTATTCTCATTATTGATTAATTGGTTGGATCCTCTAGCTTTCTCCTCCATGCTGGGAGGAGAGCACAGCAAGCAGTGGGCAGGTGCAAAAGCCAGCCTGCTATTGGCTATTGCAGTTTGGCCAATAGCAGGCTGGCTTTTGCACCAGCCCAATACCTGCTGTATTTATATTCAGCTGCCATCTGCGGAATCTTGCCACTGGTTGCTGTCATTCCCTGGCTGAAGCTATTCAAGCGTCATGTGCTTACAATGCAGTTATTTCAAAACAAATGATAAAAGGTGGGAAAAAAGTCATTTTTCAGTTTCGGCCTGACAAATTTTGCTGCGGGAGGTGAGTTGCAGTGCCATTCATTTTAGCACCCCAAATGCACCTCCCACCCACAGTGTGATCGCCCACACTGGAACGCATGGTACCGCAATAAAGTGCACTCCAGTGCAGTGCGATTGCAAAAAATTGTGCTTGCTGTTTTATTCTGAAGTAAACTTTGTTTGTAACACTGCATTTGTGTATTTCATTTTTAATGTAGGGATGGTATTTAATTTTTTTTTTTAATTAATTTTTGAAAATAATCATTAGTTGCAGCCGTAGAGCCTATAGTCCAAGAGAAACGAGTAAAGCATTTAATAAGCCAGTAAAGAACATTTGGAATGATATCCTTCTCGCACTTGCACTCTTCTGTCGTATGAGAGTGCATGTTTGTTGAACTTTTGCAGACTTGAATTTTCTTGGGACACAATAGGCTCAAATGCATCCTGCTAACATACCAGTCAGGAACTGGATAATCAATCTTTCTCTGAATAGTTCAGGAAGACTTCTCACGTTCCAAAGTCTCCCTGTTTACAGTGGTAGGTCTCCAATACTGCTGCTGTTTGTAGTACTTAGTGAAGTGAAAATTAACCTTTAAAATACATTGGACCAGCCTTTCTCAACCAGGGTGCCTTCTGGCTTCCTCAGTGGTGCCTCCAAATGAGGCTCCTGAAGTGAAAAGAGAACTCTTCACTTCAGGAACTGATCTAGAAGGAAGTGGACTCTGATCTAAAAGGGGGGAACCTGATATGTAAGGGGGCTCCTGAGGCGATGAGGGTTTCTAATGTGAAGCGGTTCTACTGATGTAAAGGGGAACTCTGATATGAAGGGGGGGAATTTGATGCAAAGTGGGGAACCCCACTTTTGTCTGTTTTTGCAAATCACCTCTATGTTGGATTTGGTGCCCTGTGATTTTTCTTACTTTTAAAGGGTGCCATGACTTTAAAAAAAGATTTGGAAACACTGCATTAGACAATTGTATTGATTTGTAATGAATAATATTCTGCGGTGTCACCAGAAGGTGTACCTGAAAAGGAAATCTTGAAAAGTATAGCACTCTGTCAAGGTATACATTGGGAGCTCTGTGGGGAGGTAATTTATCTGCATTAAAGGAGAACTATGGGGTTAGGGCTTTTCCCCATAGTTCTCCTAAGGGTAACGGGAGGACACAAACTAGCTTCCTACCGTCACCCTAAGCTCAGTATACCGCGAGCTACAGCTCGCCTGTATACTGAGACGCCTCAGCTGAAGCGGATCCCAACAATTATGTCTGGATCTGCCCAGCTGCATGAGTGACAGCTGGCTCTGCCTATCTAGAGGCAGAGCCAGCTGTACCCGCCCCCTCCCCCGTCCGTTCCGCCAGTCAGCGCTGGAGGATCAGAGGGGGGAATCCAGCCACTCCCCTGTCACGGCAGAGAGCTGTGACAGGATCGAGAAGTGAGCGAACGCCAGTATGTGTTCGCTCACTTCCCGATCTACTGAGCCGACCTGTGACAGTCTCATTGTCGCAGGTCGGCTAGAACTATGAGGTGAGTGAAAAGCACTCACCTCATAGTTCTCCTTTAAAAAAGGGGGCATCACAGAAACAAAAAAATATCTGGAAATGCCCATTAAACATTTTTTAAGAAATTCTTGTTTGCCAGTGAAACTATCAAGAGTGTTAACGGTAGAGGTTTGTGTGTAGTGGGTATTTTTTGTAGGAGGAGTGGGGAGAATTCACTGCAATTTATTTTTTTGTCACACCAAGGTGTCATCATTTTCATGCATATTAACACGCATTTTCATCTAGTGTGTTTAGCATAATTTTGCATGTGTTCGACATGCAATTAAGTGGGCAGTTAAAAGACCTTGCAGTCAATGGACAAACGTACGCAAAAACGCACACAGAAATGTGCAAAAACGCTTGTCGCCTGTTTCCAGCCGTTTACATTGCAGTCTACGGGGCCAACTGTGCTGTCATCTGCCGCAAAGAACCTCATGTACTTTTTCCAGCTTTTGGCATTTTACAGCTTGTGAGAAAATGCTCAGTTGTGCCGCATCAAACGCCTAGGTGTGAACGGGGACTAAGGATGATGAACATTTTTTGATAAATTACAGTTTTTAATAAGCAAAATACTTTTCTCAGAGTTATGTTGCTGTGCTAAGTGCTTTTCTCTACAGATTTTTTTGTCTGTGTACACAGAGGTTTCTGGAAAATGTTAAAATGTTCCTTTCATGTAAATGTTCTCAACTTTTAGATAAGCTTTGTGTTCTGTACTCGGCAGTAAATGTCAGCCCTGACAAGTGATTTCATTCTTGTTCATAAGATCAAGTGTCATAAAGCCTGCAGTTTTTAATTTTAATATGTAACAATGGGTGCTTTTATGACTTTTGTTTTTCCTTCTAATATTTAGCTTTGTGACTTGCTTGAATCTTTCCAATATTTTCCGTTATTGCATACCTGTGGAAACATATTTTATTGTGTTCTGTCTGTTTAGAATGCTATGCAGTTATATTTAAAGTGTATGTGTTGGTAGAATAAAAGAAAAGCATGTTTAGTACATCTATTTTATCTCTTTAAAAATGTGTGAACAGAAAAATACCTTTTGATTCTGACAGAAGGGAGTTCATAGCTTCCTGTTCAAGGTTGACAACACTGCTATTAAAATTAAATCCTAAGCAGTGTTGTCAGCTTTGCCTGAGCTCCCCTCTGCTCATCTACCTCTCCTCATCTCCTTAATTCCTCCTTGTTGCATTTTCAGCACTCTTTCCATTGACATATCTTCTGCTTGCTGTTTGTTGTCTCTTTCTCTCTCTTAACTACTTAGGACTGCTGTGTGTATGTATATGTATATAATATATATATAACGAGCAGACAAGTGGATTTTCGAGCTATATATATATATATATATACATATATATATATATATTCTCTCTATCCTGGTCCCTGAAGTAGTTATACCAAGATCATGGTTGCTACTGCATCTTGTTGCCGTTTTTTTCTCAACAAGCGATTCTCTGCTGGCCAGATCACTTGTAGCAGCCTGCACATGTCGTGTGTCTTCGTCCCCACCACCTCCTCCTGTGGTTTTCGGGTTCCCTGCTTCTCTGGGCAATTGGTGTCAGGATGTAGAGCAGGAGCAGACCATTCCCTGATCTGCTCTGTAGGCAGTGGCACAGGAAGCGCTGTGCTCACAGCTGCCATATTGGCCAGCTGAAATACCGATTACACGGGGGATTGGGCCAATGCACAGGCACGCAATTTTAACGCTTGACATGTTTGGTATCTATTTACACGAGGTAACTGCATCTTTTATATTTTACCCAAAAAATTATTTTAAGTATTATATTGTTTGCACTAAAATTAATTTAAGTTTTTTTTTCCCCTCTAAAAATATGGATTTGATTAACATTTGCGAAAATATTTTGCAACATAAAAAAATGCAGCTACAATTTTTTTATTTTATTTTACAGGGCCTCTGCTTTCAGAAAATATATACTTGTTTGGGGGTTTGAAAGTAATTTTCTATCCAGAAATCCAGATTGCAGTATGTGTGTGTGCAAAAATGACAAAACTGCTTTGGTACTAGGCTGGTTAATGGAGGGAGAAACAAGAGGAACTTCATTTTCAATTTCTATAGTTTTATTTGCATTTCTATGAAAGGATGAGTGATACTTTACAATAACGTAATATAAAGAGAACTGCAAGGGTACATATAAATAATAAATGTAAGTAGCACACTAGAGTATGAAATATTCGTTATAATGCTATAAATTACTGGGGATATATAGATAGTGTGTATCATTTTCTTTTTGTTCCACAATGTAATAGGAGCATTCTTACATTTTCAGTATAGAATAAAAGTGATAAATTAGTGGATGTAGAGCAAGGAATTAGAACAGATAGAGATAGACAAAGAATATTTGAAGAGAGGTTTGAAAGGAGAGATGGGGAAATATATCAGGGAAGGAACAGGAGTATGAGTAAAAGGGGTGATCGATGGGGCAGAAGGTAGGAGAGGAGTGTGGCAATCCTCCTTAAACTTAAGCAGAATAGTACAGAAGTATTGGCATGATGTGAAATGTCATATAACTGGGGTAGTCATAAAAACAGGATGAGGTTGTATGAAATGGTCACTGGATTAACTTTCTTTTTATTATTAGATCCAAGCTGAATGGGAAAACAGTAGGAATCAGACTAGATTTCTCAACGTGGTTATTAGATATTCCTCCTGGCAGGTCTCAACCAGTGGCATTTGCTGGTGCCTTGTACATATCGGTCTTCTAGCTGTCTTTGGAGAGATCAGGAGACATCTATCTATCTATCTATCTATCTATCTATCTATCTATCTATCTATCTATCTATCTATCTATCTATCTATCTATCTATCTATCTATCATCTATCCTGCCTTTTTACCTTTTTTATTGTACGATATTTGTATTTTGTACAAATATATTAGATTGTATTATGTTCTGGTTTTGATGCAAAATCTATGTCAAGAGGTAAAGCAAAAAAACAAGTAAATGATTGTAACTTTTTTTTTTTTGTCTCTGTTTTGCAGGAAAATCATCAGCGTGTTAGCATATTTTTTGACTATGCTCGCCGTGGGAAAAACACTGCCTGGTCTTACTTTTTACCAATGCTGAATCGTCAGGACTTGTTCACAGTTCACATGGTAAAACCAAAAAAATATATTTTACAACCATTATGTTTTATTATGTTTTATTAAGTTTTCAGCCAATTTTCTGCTTCTATTTTTACCACTGTTTTTTGTTTGATTACTATATGCTATTGAATAATCAAGTACCAAAAATAATGTGAACAGTGATTTAATTTAAAAAGGCTAGAGGGAATTATCTGTAAACTGGGCAGCAAGGGCCTATTTGTTACCCTGTTGATGTACAATCCACATTTGGGATTGGTTGTGAAATACACATGAAGGGAATAGATGTAAATTAGCCTATAAGCACACAGCCTACAGCCCCATCCTTGGGGCTTGTTCACTGCAGATCTGATTGGAAATGATAATGTCTGCAATTTATGATGCTATGGCTTTTCACATAATGTTTGCAATGCTGTAGGTCTCCATTCAGCTGACCTAAAGGGATATTGCTGGTCAGTGCACCAAAACAGCTGCTTGCAGGATATTTTTTTAAAACGCACTAAAATGCATCCTTTCTTGTGAGGACAGGCCCCAATGACAGGAATGGATTTATAAAGTACTATGCAGTTTGCCTGCATTACAAAATATAAGGCTAGTATGGGATCTCAACCATGGTGACCCTTCATGTTTGTTTTAGGAAAGGTTTCCTTTACTGAAGTAAAAAAAAAATTGTAAAATGTATTTTTAATGTAATTACCTGAATATGTCTTTGTGTCAGTCTCTTGTAAACCTCTGTACAGTAGTACTCAGATGAATAGAGGCAGGGGAGGGAGAGGACTGCCACTAGTAACCAGTCAGGCTCTATAGCAGTGTAGATGTGCTGAGAGTGAATATGCTTAAAGCAGGAGAGAACAGCGTCAGCAGAGGGATGATTTCAACCTTGGGAGTGTTTTGACCAATGTTTTTGAACAATTTCTGCTGCATTGAAGGATGAATATTGGGTTATTTTTTCTAGCGGAACTGCCTGGATCACAAAAGTAGCAGCACATAATTACAAGTACAAGCTTTTCCCATACAAAAATGGAAAGAGTTCACTGCTTCTGTATCCTCGTACCCATATAAAATTATTGGTGCTTCTGTGTTTAAATGGATAATTTAGAGGTGGGACCCTATGTTTACCTTCATCTGGTGATGAAGAAAATGATGGCACTGAAATAAGTTGCACATGGATGGATGAATATTCTGAATATTTATGTATGGACTAAATACATTGTTTTATAAATTCACTCACATCACTACATAATTTTTATACATTCAGAAATGGTAGATTGATGTATTATTTATTCCTTGGTAACCATGGCCAGAGGGAAAAAGCGACCTGTTGTATGTACGTGTTAAAAATAAAGATCTGTACATGTTTTTTTTCCTGTTCTTTCAGGCTGCACGTATAATTGCTAAATTGGCTGCTTGGGGGAGAGAACTGATGGAAGGCAGTGATTTGAATTACTACTTCAACTGGATTAAAACTCAGCTGAGTTCACAGGTATTTTTTTCTAACCTTTCATTGAAATTTACCTATTTTCTTACTTTATGTACTGCCATGTATTACACTTACATTTAAAGCTTCATGCACTTATACTTGTGCATAATGTGAGAGGAAGATGATTTAATCTGTAACTCATGCAGTGCTTAGTAAAACATGTTGAATTTATAACCTTATATATGGCTAAGAATGGTGAATAAAGAAACATCGCTAAGCAACTATTAGGCTAATCAATAGAACCTCAGAAGCAAGTCAAGAACTGGTCAACATAATTTACACACAGTCAAAGCAACACAAAAGTACACTGCATTCAACTTGCATCTGTTCTACCCAAACCCTTAGTTAGATAGATACTTACATAAACTGTAGGCCAGTCCACGATAAACCTCCTATTACCAGCATACCTCAGTTGTTTGCTAGTATCCTAATGGATGTCTTTACTCTGCTGCGTTAAAGACTAGCCTACTTTTGTTAGCACTTTTTTTTCCTTAAGTTTTTTCCCCCCGCACTCAAGACTCTTCTCTACGTCACTGCTGGTGTTTTGTCTTTTCAATGACATCTTCCAAGGTCCAAAGGTGCTGGCATGGCCAATAAAGCGAACGGTTAAACTAATAAATAATATTTGGTTTTACTGTTTATAATGAATTATAAATGTATTTGACCTACATGTATGGGAGTAAGGGGGGAAGGAGGATAGAATAAGGGGAAAAAGGAAGTCCGAATGCTGAAAAAACATATTTATTTCAAAGTAAAAAGGGGGTAGGAGGCACCTTCACAGCGCCTAGAAATTAGAATTCTAGGTGGTATTAAAGGGTAACACGTCACATAGATGACCACAAGTAGTTAGAATACATAGTTGGATTTGTACAGAACATGGAAGATTAAATGGAACTATGGTTCTTATTATAGGAGGGGGATTCACACTCTACTACCTATAGGTTGATATGTATATTTTAAGGGGAACACATAGAAGTAGGGAATACACTCACATAATATGGGTGGTGGGGTAAGAAATTATGAAGAATATAGTACTCAAATTTAAGAGATAGTGAACAGAAATATTCACGCAACACACATATGGGGGATTAAGTAGTTAACGTTTGGACTTCCTCCCCCCCCCCAAGAATGTATGTATGTATATGTATATATGTGTGTTTTATATTAGCTATATGTATTTTGAAATAAAAATATATTAACTCAAAGGTGCTGGCATTGCCTCAAACTCTGGGATTTCGATCCTCATTGCTCTGGACTGGCCTAGATGGATATGGTATGCCAGCTTACCAAGACTCCTGTCCTATGATCCATGAGTACTGCCAGAAAGGACTGATTTGCCATCCTGCTTCACGGTCACTGGCTTTAACAGCATGGCTTTTGAAACCTAGCTGCTGAGGGACAGGGGCTTTTCTGAGTCTGTGATTTCCTAAAATGCTAAAAGCTAAGAAGTACACTTCCTGCAAGGTCTATCATCAGACATTGAAAACATACTTCACTTGGTGTGAGTTTTGGGTCTTCCAACCCAGGAGTTTATCTGTGTGATGAATCCACTTTCCTTTAGCTCAGTCTGGACCAGTATTTGGCTCTCAGCACTATCAAGGGTTAGGCCCCTGCCCTTTTTTTTTTTTTTTCCTTCAGAGACCATTGTCCTTTTACTCTTTAATTAAGACCTTTTGTTTCCTGTGACTCTTTGGTATATGCATATAGTACTCTTTGTACTTCAGAAACTGCTGTTGATTACAGATATTAATTTCTCTATTGTTACCCACAAGGTGGTGTTTCTTGTAGCCATCACCTCCGTAAGCCGATTGTCTAAACTGACTACCTTACGCTTGCAAGAAAATCCTTTCTTGCTTTGCATAGGGATACCATGGTGTTGAGGTCCAAGACTTCCTTCTTCTTCTCTAAGGTAGTTTCTGCCTTTCACCTCCAGTAAATGTTCTTCTCTACATCTGCACGGCTCCACGGCTCCAGTTTACCAAAAATAAATTTCCCTCCGTTGTCTCTATGATGTTCCAGCTGTGTGAATCTGTCCCGCAGCCACTGCTTTATATTTTAAGGGCTTCTTCACACTCAATGTGGTGCGCTCCAGAGCGGTAGCTGCTGGAACACACCACAATCCCTCACAAAACTTCTCCCTGCGCTCTGTGGCGGGAGGGGGCGTGGCGGTGCATTGAATTCAATGGCACCGCTTCCACGCTCCCCCCCGCCACGCGTCCAATCGCAGGGCGGGGGAGTTTGGAGGCGGTGCAATTGAATTCAATGCACTGCCACGCCACCTCCCGCCCCAGAATGCAGGGGGAAGTTTTGTGAGGGATTGCGGTGCGTTCCAGCAGCTACCACTCTTGAACGCACCACATTCAGTGAACAAGCCCTAAAGGCTTATTTCCTTTTTGCTGTGCCAGATTGACCTTGAAAGGATGCACTGGCTTCTCATTCCACCATCTGTAGTTGGCTTAGTTAGCCATTATAGAAGTTTATGGTTTTTACGGATAGGGTCCCATCCTTTCCTATCAAGACTTACTCTACCATATCTGTAAGTGCTTCTTGGGTTTTTCAGCATCAAGCAACTGTTTCCCAAATTTGCAAGGGGTCCGCCTGCTGTTGTGTTTACATATTCTACAAGATGGATATTTCAGTCTCATCTTATACTGGCTTTGGGCGTTAGATCACGGTGGTGACTCTTTTAGCTGCAGGCAGTCCCCAATTTTCTGTTTTGTATTTTCTTTGCCCTCTTAGTGATTGCTGTGTTGGCCACTCCTAAGTTGGAATGCTTTTGAATATCTCAGAAGTTAGAGACTTCACGTGTCCCTCAATGGACTCTTACCGTAAAATAATTTTCTCGGAGTCCATTATAGGACACAGTTCCCACCCCTCTGTGTTTATGATCATGCTCTCTGTACTGCCTTGCTACAAAACTAAGATGGTAGAAGGAGGGTTTTTTTTCTGGCTGGTCTACGTTTTGGTTTATTTTTCAGTGTCCAATCCTTCTGTAGGTGGCAGTATACTTGAAGTTTAAAGACTTGTGTGTGCCTCAATGTAGTCCAAGAAAAAGATGAATGATTATGCATTGAGCACCAATATTGCTCCACTGTGCCAAATTAGCACTTTTAATTTTTTTTTTATCCTAGAAATGCATCTTTGAAGATGAATGCTCTGGTTTGCCATGATAAACTCTCTTCCATTTTAACCCACATGATAAGCTTAGGTAGTTTCTTTTTTCTATACTATGTAATAAAGCTAGTCATGTAGAGCATTACATGACTTGTGAGGCTCATGCTGATTGATGACCAAGTATTGATTTCATGCACAAAAGTATTATAAATTGTTTTTCTCAAAGTTAAGCAATCACTACTTCAGGGTCCTTTGGGCTTGTGAAAATTTCTGCTGTTCACCTTTCTACTGTTTGTTGCAGCAAATAGCATAGCATACATATAAGACAGTATTGCTAGAGCAAAGGATTTTATTTCTCCGACCCCCATGTTTCCAAGGCAGAAATGCAATAAGGTAGCTGCACTAATGAAATATATTTGTGTAGTTACAGTTTCTCTCCCTTTCTTTTCTATAACAAAAATAAAAAGGAATATTTGCATTTCTGAATGTGAACATGTGACCAGGCTTTGTTAATCTAGGTATTTGCATATTTCCAAGCTGACTGCCTTGTGTAGCTGCAGGCACAGTGGGGCAATTCATCCTCAGAAGTCAGCAGAAGCACTGAAATCTTTCTCTTAGCAGCTCAGCTCACCCTTTTCACTGCAAGAGTATTATCTTTGTGTTTACCGTATATACTCGAGTATAAGCCGTCCCGAGTATAAGCCGAGGTACCTACTTTTACCCAAAAAAACTGGGAAAAATGAGGCAGCTACTGGTAGATAGATACCAATAAAATTACATTAATATTTAAGATTAGAAGGCTGCTGAATATTGAAGATGAATTGCTTTGGTGCCTGCAGCTACAGTGGCCACTGAGGGTTTGTTCATCCCAAGCCTGGCCACATGTGCACTTTACATTTCTTTTAATATTCACTCAAAATTTAAATGTGGTCATTTCTCAGTACCATTAGCTCTATCTGTACAGCTAAATCATATAGCAACTCTAGGCAGCGAGTAAAATTGGCTACCCAGGAAGCATTAAAACTAAGTGTTTAAGTGGAAGTAAACTGCCCCGCTAAAAAGCCAAATTTGGGGCCCTCATGAGCATTTTGCTATAACGTGAAAGTATGATGTAACTCCTAGGCATGCACACAGGATTTTCTTGCTCCAGATACAGAATTGTGCTGAGATTGTACAATGAGCTTCATATGTGTTGTCAAGTAGGGAGGAGCATTTAGGAAAAAAGAGACAAGAAAAGCCTGTTTGTGGGGGTTTTTTTTAACTTCTGCTTTAATGATTGAAATTCCACTGTGTTTACTTTTTTAAATATATTCTTTGTATAATCCCTTGTAGCCAGATTCAGCATTCTTTTCCTGTATGGGCTATACTGCAGCCTCTTGCTTCATAATTCTTTGATGTGAAACCTTTCTTTTTTTTTCTCTGCTGTATGTAGACCATGCTGCATTAGACTGCTGCCAAAGGCTGTGCTTGAACTAGTAAGCTCAAATGACTGAAATTTTACTATGTTCCAATGTAGGGCAATTAAGGAAATGAGGATACCGTCATTTAAAGTTTTAGGTGGGTTGCACTAACCTCTGGCTTCATTTATGCCTTGGATATTGCTACAGCAGAATCTGCCTGCGATAATTCACAACTCTGTTCTTGTTCACTGGGAGTTTTGCATATTCCCGCCCACATTTTTCCTGTTCTAATACCTCCTGTTACAGTGCATTTAATAATTTAAAAGGCCATCATGGGGAGTTGGAAATTATCAAAGTAACTATACCATGTGTGCAGATCTAGGAACTTAATTCAGATATATTGCCAATAAGTTTTCAAAAGATATAATGCAGAAGGTGACTGTAGCTGTATCAGAGAACAGCTGCTGAGTACTGTACAAGATGCTTCTATTTATTTAACTGTTAGACCAAATGAAAAAGTGTCACATATAGTACTCAACTGTGCTATAGGAGATATACAGAAAAGTTTTGTGGTTTAACTATACAAATACAGAATCTCAAAACTCAAATATTAGTTTTGATTGGACTGACCCTGAGCCAATATAAACAGTAGTCAAGATGAAAGAGGGTTACAAAGGACCACTATTATTTTTACATTCTTACTTTATTTTCTGCTTCAGAAATTACGAGCAAGTGGAACTGCCATGGAAACAGGAACCGTCTCTCCAAGTGATGTAAGTGTACTGTAAAAGGAAAAAAATCATATGGTATGATCGTGAATCATAGGTAAGCGCACTGTTAGTTGACATTGGGCTTTCAGCATGCTACTTAAAGCTTAGCTTGGTCTGTTCAGCTGTGGGTTATTTTATTTATTAGAACAATCCATTATAAAATACAATCTGTTCCATGTCTCATTTGTGAGCAACCCACATTTCCTTGTTTTTCTCATTGCACAAAACAACTATAAATAGAGTTCGAACCAAGTTCTGAAGAAGTATTTAAAGTATGGTTCCGAAATGAAGATTACAAGCTCTTGATATAGCGGATGACAAACATTACAAGGATGATGGTGGCTTCTGAAGCAAAAACAGTGCTTAGCTAACGAGATCAAGAGGCTTCATACTAGTATAAAACTAATGTTTAAAATAAACCATTAATGTAATTTAAACAGCCATAGCTGCTGGTGGTAGTTGGTGCAGAACTTCTGCATTGAAGTAGTCCTAAAAGTTTACATTTGATGATCCTTATCTGATACCTTTTCCAGGCGGATCTAATGACAATGGGGTGTCTGTGACCCTGGTAGATGAAAAATGGCGCACATTTGTGAGAATATACAATCAGCCTTTCATCCAGTGGGCTAAATTTCATGACCTAGACCCTGGTCACAAAAGCTGGGTACTGATTTGATCTTTGGCTAATTGTGCTGCAGGTTTGATTTTTTTTTTTGTAAAGAAATATATAAAAATGTTTTTGGAACAGGTTAGGACCTGCTTATTTTGTTCAATGAGCTATTATTTTTTTTAAATTATTTTTGACTGGAGATTTCTGCTTGAAGTTGGGGGCAAAATGTATTTTTAGATTTAGTTTTATTTGTACAGAATACTACCACTTGCAGTTGGTAAGTGAAAGTGCCAGCTAAAAGCAAATTGTTACACCCCACACATCAATTTCTAGTGACATGTTTAAGAAATCAAAGCAGATATTTGGTTGACATAAGGAGAATATCCAATTTTCAACCTTCAATTCTAATGTTTAAAATCTTTTCCAAGTTACACCATGTTTCCAATTTGAACACTCCTGTTCCTAACAGATAGTTGCATTTTTAGAATAAAGATTAAAATCTGCAGTAAATTGTCATTATTCTTCAATTTCCTGATGTTCATCCAGGTTTTATTATAATTAATCTTTGGGATCTGTATGTTAATGGGCATCTGTCATTGAATAGGAAAGCTTTTAATTTGACCCTGCCATTTCTCCATATAATAGCGACAAGCTGGTACTCGATACTTTTAAAAGATAAGAGCTTTATTTATTTATTTTACAGGTTTTTCTCCCTTTTTATAAAGCTTTTGTCTTGAAAGATTGTAGAAGGAATATGTTTCCTAGGCAGCTGTGGAAAGCTGACCTTGTGTGCTTTTGCTAAGCGTTTCTCTGTAATGATATGTACTGTAGATTAAATTATTAAAAAAAAAAATCAACTGTGCTAAAGCAACACATAGGGATTCTTTTCTAATCACAATTTATTAGGCTATTTGTGGTTTTAGAGGTGTATTCAACATTTTATTCCAATGTAAGTAATCTGTGCTGATTTTTAATTGTATTTCTCACCATGGATCTATAAAGATTGCTTGATTAAATAGTTCTTTGGCAAGATATCTTCTGCTGTGATTTGGGATGTAATTGCCTCAACTCATTTACATTGTGTTTTCTAATGGATTACTTTTGGTTTCATCCATTGGTGTGCTACTTTTGTAACGTCTTCATAGTTGACTTCGTGTTTATCAGATGTGCTAGCCATAATGTACCTTTGTCTTCTATTATAAGCTTTTAAACATTTAAGTACGTGTTTTTTCATTATTATATTATGGATATATGGATATACCAAAAGTCCTACATTATAGAAGCCATGGCTCTTATCTTGGGATACAAAAAAACCCTCAAAATAATTGTTTGCAAGTTACTGAAATTAGTTTCTGCCCATTTAAATTTGTGCCTGTCCTATAGATTTGTTGTTTTCCGTGAACATTGGGCTACAGGTGTAAAATAGGGCTGCAACAACTAATCGACATAATCGATTATAATCGATTATTGAAAAAGTTGTCAACTTTTTCAATAATCGATTAATCGATTTCAGCCAGGGCACCTGTTAAAACTATGCAAAATCTCAAAGCAACCTAGTCTAAAGCTTAAAAACCATCAATGTAAAAAAAAGACACGTGGTCCCTCCAAAATCCATATTAGTCCCTTATCAGAGATGAGGATCTCGTATATGGATTTTAAGCGCGGACTGCATGCAAAAACGCAAAAAAAAACAAACACTGCGGTTCTCCCCTTCACATTAGGAGCTCCCCTCTTTCACATCAGAACACTTGGGAGCCCCCTTTTTTCATGCAAGTCACCCCCTCTAACAGTAGGAGCCCCCCTTTTCATCAGGCGCTCTCCTTAGATCAAAGGCATGACACTGGGGGGAAAATTGCAAGGCTGTTATAAGTGACTGACTTGTATTTATTTTGCTTGAGTTGTATGTCTCTTCCTTCAAATTCCTAAAGTTAACTTCCAAAGACTTATTTTACTACTTTACTGATGTGTTCGTCAGCCAGGAGCAAAGAAATTACATGGTGCTTCCAAGTGTGGAGAATTATGTGGCTCATTCCATGTGACAAGGAGAGTCCCCAGCCCTATATGTGTCCTGTAATGAAATAGCGGCTGGCGGGTGAAACCATAGCTGGCGAAGGGGGATGCAGGTGTCCATCACTCCCAGATATGTCAGATGTGAAGGTTTTTCTGGCTTTGAAGTTGAGTAAAAAATCCAGGAATAAACAATGGAATAGGTAACTACTGTCTCCTGTGTGGAGGTCAGCAGGAGGAACCAATGACCAACCAATCCTTTCAAAATTCGCTACTAATATAATGCTTTTCTCTCCTTGCATCCAAAATAAATCACTCTATTGTTTCTTCCCACTAATTCCCATCATTCTTACATTTTCAGAGTTCCCAGTATGTTCAGTGTGTCGCAGGATGCCTTCAACTGATGCTTAGGGTTAATGAGTACCGTTTTGCGTGGGTGGAAGCAGATGGTGTCAACTGGTAAGGCTCCTTTAATAAGCATAATGATACATTCAAGAAAGCATTGTAAAGACAATTGCTGTCACCATGGATTTGACTGCATCTTGGAAATAAGAATAATATGATTATTGAAAGATAAGGCCCCCTCGACAGTGTACTGGAGACAGCGATGTTGGAGATGAAGAGAGAAAGTTCTAAGAGTGGGTGTAATGCAAGTAAGGTATTCTTAACAGATATTCAGGGTAGTGCAGGTCTCCATATATAGGTACGGTCAGTAAACATGCTGTGATTTAATGTAGCACATTAAGAGATCAGTGGGATATAAAGTTGCTGTTTTCCTGCACACGGTGATACTCTATAAGCAGCAATGTAATGCGAATAATGCATACAGAATGTTATTTAACCCCTTAATATTTTGGGGTATTTTATACCTTCATGGTTTTTCAGCAGTCTACAAATCACCTGGGCACAGGTCTAGCGGTCTATCTCATTTCATGACAAAGCAGTGTTAAACTAACACCAATTTGTCAAGTGACAGTGCCAAATGTTGATGGTTTTGGATGGCAGTCTTTGTTTAGCTTCCAGCTCTTTTTTATTAAAATGGTTAAAAAAGGTTTACCAAAGCAGTTTTAAAAGACATACTTACCATCACATGCAGACTAAAGTTCATTTGCATTCTGTGGAATCTGTAGAGTGCCTCTTCTTCCTGAGCCTCCATGTTCACTCAGGGCATCTAGTGATCCAACGATTTCCTTGTTTTCGAAGTGGCCCTATTTAATAAAGCACCATGTATGTACATTAGCACCCAACGCTCAAGCTGGGGAATCATATTGTTTACGTGTTACTGATACTGTGGCAACAAGTAAGCAATAGGATTCCTTAGCTAGAGCACTGGGTGTGTATGCACAGGATTACTGATGTGTTAGGTGGGAAATGATACAGGGAAATGACCTTGGAGTTGCCTGAAGATGTCTGTGATATATGACTTCCATTTCCCAGGAGTCTGCTGGCACTGCAGCTATGCCATTCTTGGCAAGGCGAGAAATGGTGAAGTGAGGGGAACAATACAAAAAGATCTATTTCCAAAATGAAAAAAAATTGTATGCAATTTATTAATCTCAGGGGGAAGGGTGGGGTTGATACAAACAGTGATATTATCTCGTGGAAAAAGAGATGGAAGGTCCACTTTAAGATCCACCACACTAGGATGTATATTAAAGTATATCTAAACCTGAGTTTGTTTTCATTTGGATAGAGAATTTCACAGGACAAAACTACAGCTTTCTGTTATGTAACATAGCTGTACCACCTCTGTTTCATTCTCCAGGCTGTGTGCATAATGCTGTATAAGGCTCAGAGAAAGGGTGCTGTCTGACGTAGTAGTGCATATTGTAGATGAAATGTAACTCAATAAGAGTAAATATTTAACCTTAAAATGGTCTTGAAAACTAAGCCACTTCTATCAGTGCAGAAAAAAAAACTTACCATCTATACAGTAATAGTAAGTCCACTCACACAAAACTTGCTAGTGTTTGTTAAACCAGGTAAAGGCTTTTACAGATAAAATAAAAAGATAGTAACCCACTTGGCATATGACATATGCTAAACACAACACTTTCTACATAAAATTCACTTACAAGAGATGGAGTAGAGAATTGCTTGTATTTGGCCAATAACAGTGTCTGCATCCAGAGGTGAGGCATCGGCAATGGCCAGCAGTAGTGCCAATGCGAAGTCTCTATACAAGGGTCACTATGCATTGCTCCGACACTGAGGTGTTTCAAGGCACTGTCCCATCTTTGGAGTCAAGAGACTTCTAGGTTGGCTGAAACAATTGCCCTTTTCACTGTCAAATTAAATCGTAGATAATAAGTTAGATTAAAAAATCTAGAAAAGATGAAGAATTGTGTTTCCTTTTCTGTTTCATAAAGTAAATATTCTTCTTTTAGTAAGTTACAAATACGGCCCTATTTAATTAAAATATTGCTATGTTTAAAATGTAAATACAACCAAGCAGAATTAATTCTGCTGAAGTACATCGTTTATTATGATTGGTTATTGTAGCTAAAATGTAGCTCAGATGGTATAGAAGATGCATTTTGTTGATGTTCACCCAATCAGGTTACAAAGCCAATGGACATTTGTCAATAGGGGGTGCATTTTTACACTAAACTCCTTCAAAGCCAACTTGTCAACCATTTGAATTATTTTTTTAAATGATAGTGCTGCCCAAGAGCAAATACCTTAACTCTTACCTAAACCGTAATGAAAGCCTTAAAGAAAACCATTTTTTTGACTATGCAGGGCAATACTGAAGTAACAAAAGAGAGAAAAAAAGACGACCGGCAGGCTTTCTATGACAGAAGAGACTGTAAAATGTTCTCGCTGCCTGTCAGTACCAAAACTTACCTGGTGCACCCACTAGTTCTTTATGAGGGATTGCGATACTCCTACTAAAAGTTTAGCTGCTCTTTACCCTTTGATGAATTTTCTGTTAAGAAATGGTCCATTCCTAACGTGGACCTAGCAATATCCAGTTTCTATAAATCACTAACACTTACTGTTTGTTGCGTGGGCCTTTTAGTGTTTTATTGCTGTTTTTCCACTTTTCAGTTGGACTGCTTTTGGACATCACAATTGTCTCTAAATTATGTGTCCTTAAATAAACAAGAAAGAAAATAGTTTTTTTGTACTTGCCATATAATAAATTTTTATGAGTTTGAGGCATGCATCTGTGTCTATGACCCAGCTTTTCATATTGCTTTTCTTCAAAACTGAGGGGTAATACTGACCTCTGTTTTTATGTTTGCCAGTGTCCAAATCGTCCCAATTGTCTGGTGTGGTGGAGTCTGGTTTAATCAAAAACTGTGCTTTCAAACAGTATGTAAGAGTAGTGCATTGTACAGTTATAAAAAATCAGGTTGAATATTAACTTTTGAGTGCACAGAACATGTTGTTCAAGAGAAGTCTTCTGCTACAAAATATAGTGCTTTCTTCTTTGAATGGATCTCAGGAAAGTCGGTATGTGCTACTATTCATTACACTTCTACCCTACAAGCAGTATATTTACTTATTTTTTCTTTTCTTTTTCAGCATTATGTCTGTATTGAGTAACAAATGTGGATTCCAGCTTCAGTATCAAATGATATTTTCTATCTGGTTGCTCGCATTCAGCCCACAAATGTGCGAGTATTTACGAAGGTACAACATTGTGCCAGTGCTCTCTGATATCCTTCAGGAATCGGTCAAAGAGAAAGTAACACGTATTATTCTGGCAGCTTTCAAGGTAAGGAAACCACGGAATGGGTTTTGCCAATATTTGTGTTTGAAAAATGTACTTACTCACCGGTAATTCTCTATACATTGGGAGCAAGTGAAGGACAATGGACACAACTGTGTTTGATACTATGGTTTACTGCCTAGCAATATGCTCTTTTTGTGTGTGTCAGGTTATGGACACATGTATCTGCAATTGTGGCAGAAAATTAAAGCTGCAAATCTCTGTACTACATATTCATTTAAATTGAATATCAATGAAAAAAACTGTTGGAAGTATATATTACGACCCTTATGAAATCCATACAGTGAATGATTGCAAGCAGGATTTTTATGTAAATCGCCTGCATTGCTTTAAACTACATCTTGCAATGGAATTGTACATATAAATGTCTTGGACTTGATAAAATAGCAGTCTTTTCACTGCCTAAAAGTAGTTTTAGTCAGCATGAGGAGTCCTTTGGGTCTACACAGTACTGCAGTCGCAAAATACCTGATATTATGTGGTATTAGGCGAAAGGTTTAGCTGTATGCCTTATTTAAGAGCTGCATGTTAGTTAACTGTACATATTTCTCCTAACGTAAATTTTATTATTGATTGGAGTTAGTCTATAAAAAGCAAGTGCAGACTAAAAAAAAGGAAGCCAATCCAATTAAAATGAGGAGCTATGAAATAAAGCAATTTCAGCTATTATTTACTTGTTTTTTTCCCCCTAGCTATTAGAGGGTAACCGTAATGATTATAGGACAATTTTAATCCATTTTTTTTTGCATTTAAGTAAACTGATATTTTACATGCATTTTTTAATTTACTAGTATCACTAAGAATAATGTTTTAAGGACAGGTCACAGCAGTAACTGTTTGCTTTCAGACTGTCTTTCTCCATAATTTTAAAGTGTGTACACAATCATACAGAGCAGAGAAGGTGAGGGGTGGGGCGAGTTATTTCTCTAAATCATTCAGTTTATTGGGTAATTTGAGCTTGAACTTTCTGAACTCTGCAAACAGACTTTTTTGGGCTGAAATATGAATGATTCATTTTAAATTTGCTTTATTTACCTGACTAAAAAAATGTAAAAGTATTTGACCTGTAGAAAAAATATATACCAAAGCATTACATTCTTTTTAATAGATAACATAATATACACATTGTGGACTTTTGGGCTAGGTCCTGAGCCTGACCTTGTCTGTGCCCTCCCCAACCCTTTTCACATGCTGCTGCAGATACGAAATATGCCAAAGCTGAATACTACAGGGCATATTTATAAAGCAGTGATTCTGACATGCACAAAACATTTACTGCAGGTGAATTTTTCTGATGTACTTGCTTTCAATAATAATGATAAATTCACTACGAGTGAATGTTTGGTAAGTGTCACATTTACTGCTTTATGTCCCAGTGGGTCTGGTACTGTAATGAACAGTGTACAGGTGATGTCACGCTCTCACAGAATTTTGAGAGGCAGGGAGTGTTGTATGTTTCCGCAATACTAATAAATACTTGGCTTTTTGCCAGGCTGTCTTGGGGATTTGGCAATTAGGGAGCATTGAAAAGGGAAGGTTGGGTACCTTATAGCGCCTGCTATCACACCCATCCGTTAGTTTCTCTACTTAGAACCTTGTACACAGGGAGCTTTAATTGTAGCAAATGTAGCGTCTGGGCTACAAATTGCTGGAATTTCTTCAGCACAGACTTTCTATTGACCACAGTTCAACTTTTTTTTTACCAACAAATCGATCACTAAAGAAAGTGGTTCTTTGGTTTTAAAATGTCTGTTACCAAATGGCTCATGTAGTTTGGTCCTAAAATAGGGCATTCATGACCCTTTGCAAATTGAGCACCAGTTATGGTTACAATCGTTAGAATACTAGAAAAATAGTTATAGGTTTTTTATAATTATAGTGGGGATTCGCTTTGTTACCATTTAGTTTTTGTTGGTGCCTAGTGGAGTATTTTTCTTAAGGGGTTGCTTCAGATTTGTTTTGGTATAGGGGAATACATTGTTTTGAATTTTTTAAATAATAATTTGGCGGCTGCATAGTCACTCCTCCTTTTGCCTTTTATTTCTTGGTTCTGATCCATTTTCACAGACTTAAAATGTAACATTGTTTTCTGTAGTTTTTTTCATATTCACAATAGACAGTGCACTATAATATGGTGTAATCATTGTGAAGTGTCCCGAAAAATAGTTGCTACTCACTTCCCTGTGTTAATACCAAGTGGGGCATTACCTCTATTTACCTAACATGGCAGCATTTCTATTTTCTTACTATAATCTATAGGTCAAGTTTACAGATTTATGTGAAGTCCCTCAAATCATGCTTTTGTAGTGTGGTCAACATAGTCAGTATTGAATGCTTCAATGCCTATCTTCTTACTATCGAAACATAAAGTCTTTGGAAAAAAACATTTAAAATTCAGAAGCATAAAGATTTAAGCCACAATGGCTGGTTTTACTACTGTAATAGAAGCAAATCTAGGCTACACTCTAACCACGTCTAAATGGGCTACTACTTTATTGAATAGATGATTGTTCTTAAACACACCTTAAAAGAAGGGAGCACTATAGCAAAGAATAAGGTACATCGGCTCCTGTGTTTAGTCATATCGTTTACAGCAAGGTAGGATTATTTGAAATGTTTAATTTTAAAAGGGGAAGTACATGAATTGCACTTGTTTTTCTAGTATTGGAAGGTGTCCACCCACAAATTAAGAGGGGTAATATACAAATGCTTTTATGTATTGTAATAACAAACTAGTTGTTTTACACTTAGGAAAAGTGGTAGTGTTATCCGTAAAGTGGTAGTGTTATCCGTATCAGCAGCCAAACAGGTGCAAGCTTTCATTTTCTTATCAGTTAAAGAAAAATGACATGAGATCGTACAGAAGAAAAATCACATGGAATGTGGATCCACACCTCTCCTTTGCTGTCTAATACCTAATGTTGGTACAGAGAGACAGACACTATAGTGTCCAGTCCAACAAGCTTTGCACATGAAGTGCTATCACGTACCTGGTGGAGGACCGATTAGCTGAGGAGGCCTCCCTTGCGGCTCTTGTCTTACACCCCTGGATGTGGAAACAGGGAGCGAGAAGACGGAGAGAAGCACGGGTGCCAAAGTGTTCAGATACGGTGCCTGGTAGAAGTCTGGCAACTGGATCCCTGGAAGGATGAACAGGGGTGGTGCACAGCTGTTATGTCAGCAAGGTTTGCTTCAGAAACTGGAGTGAGGTCAAACAAGCCAGGGGTCAAGCCAGACGGTCAGCACGGTGCAGTAGGCATAGGCAGAGTCCAGATAACAAGCAGAGGCAGGCAGCAATCAGTCAGTCAGCAGCGATCCAGGTCGAGGTAACGATAAGCAGTAACACAAGCACAAGCTGAAAGGCCGTTCAGCACTGACCCATTGGGCCAGCTGGTTTAAATAGGAACATCTATTAGAGGGCCGTGAGTCACTTCCGTTGTGCGCGCTAACGCATGTTTACTGAGACCCGTGCATGCGCAGTAGCGAGCAAGCTCCTGGCTATGGCCTTGAATGCATTCTGTATTAATTTTTTCAAATGCATATTAATATAATATTATATATATTCTCATTTTTTACATTGTAACTTTTTTTTTTTTTTGCAAAGCGAATTTTCACTTATCTTAGGAAAGGAGTTTAAACAAATTTAAAATTCACTTTGTGAAGAATTCCCAATCATGTGCAAGGAAAAGTTTAAAAAGTCAGCACAACTTTACTTTGAGAAGATAAACTTTCTTTAGCTTGGTGAATGAGCTTAAGTTGTGCTGACTTCAATGTATACTTTGCAAAGTGAATTTCACTTTGTTTTACCTCATTCACCAAGATAAGGAAACATTTACATTGAGCATGCTCTAATAATCTAATTAGTAAATTAGCCTAATTTTGTCTCTTCAAATTTTTTTTGTCTGCATACATTTATTTATGGGCAAGTATGAATGATCTAGATCAGTGGTTCTCAACCTTGGTCATTGGGTTGCGACCCAAGTCGCACCGCACTTGAACACATGGTATTGCAGTAATGCACGTTCCGGTGTGGCGATTGAACTGTGGGTGGGAGGTGCATTTGGGGTGCCATTCAAATGAATGGCAACACGACACACCTCCCAAACCAGAACATGTGGTAGGTGGGATTGCATGGTACAGTGCGTTAATCACACGGCAATGTGTGATTAACCCACTGTACTAGTGTGAGTGGGTCCTGAGGAACACTGACACACTCACTCACAAACACAGAGACAATCTCACTCGCATATACACACTCCTAATAAAAGTTTCATATTTTTTTTTTTTTTAACCTCTTGCCGTCCGCCCGTAGTAAAAAAACGGACTGCTGCATTTGCGGCACTGCTGCAGGACGGCACTGCAATTATTTTCTGCTCACGCGCGCCCCCTAGCGGGCACGCACGGGCAGAAAAGACCCGACCATTAAACACACCCGTTACCGGGTGTTTGACATATAGGCGATCAAATACCACCAAAAGAAAGCTCTATCTGTCCCCAAAAAAGGGTATAAAATTCATTTCAGTACAGCGCTGCATGACGGAATAAATGTCAGTCAAAGTACCGCAGCGCTGAATACTGAAAAATGGCCTGGATGGGAAGGGGGTTTAACACCGCGGATGTCAACTGGTTAAGATCCACCCAGCTACCCTACATTAGGAGAACTGGAGTGGATCCTCAGGCTGGGGTCCAGTGGGCTGCTGTGCTGTGACAGAGCTCCATCCATATGTGCATTGCTTGTACAGCTCCCTTGTGCACACTGTAGAGGTGGCGGGAGCCAGAATGTAACGTCAACCTAGTCCAGGCACCTCTACAGGGCACACAAGGGAGCTGTAAGCAATACACGTATGGATGGAGCTCCCTTGCGGCCATACCTCCAGCCCACCCCACCTCAAGCTGACATTCAGTGCCGGGCAAAATATTTTGAATGGCTGCTCGGCGCAAGAGGCTGAGGAACCTTTCACTTAGCACAGTCGAAGGCATGCGGCGATCCACTGAACAGGAGGTTGCAAACCCATTTTTGGGTCCCCACCCACAAGTTGACAACCGCAGATTTAGATGTTCCTGAGCAGAATTCTAAAGCAGTATGTTGACCACACATATCCATTGATTTGGTCATCTTACAGTGGCATTTTCTGTCCCCGTTTTCATTATTCAAATAGATAATAATTACAAGACTGTTTTTACTGGATTAGGTCTACAATGAAGTAATCTTCTTCAACAGTCATGCATTACATTTGAGTGCTTGAGGCCTGTTGTGTAAAAAACACTTAGTCAAGACAGTGTAGCTACTCCCAAACCTTTAAATTATAAAGAGATCAGGATGTGCCAGGAAATACTGGTAAAGTCAGCAGTCATTAGTGAACTTTGTTTATGAAAGTTCCTATAAGAACTGTCTCTTTTATCCATGGCATAATAGGTCAGATTCACAATTTTATGTTGTGTAGATATAATTTGTTGCTATGCGTAATACAGACCATTCTTTCAGACCTTTCCATTCTTGAGTTGTCATTACATGGATAAGTATGTTATTGGTATCACATATATCATGTACTTGTTTTTGGTGCAAAGCCCTTCTTAGAGGTGCATTTGTACTTTTTTTTTGTAGCGCTAAATCTTTTGGGGTTTTTTCTAATTGTAGAATCTGCTGGAAAATTCCACTGAGAGAGAAACTCGACAAGAATATGCATTGGCAATGATCCAATGCAAAGTGCTGAAGCAGCTTGAGAACCTGGAACAGCAGAAGTATGATGATGTAGACATTTCTGAAGATATCAAATTCCTCTTGGAGAAACTAGGAGAAAGTGTGCAAGATTTGAGGTATTACCATTAAATTAAGATTTATGTATTGGTGAGCTAACTGGTCTACTATAATAGCTTAGTTAATACCTGGCTTAAATTCAGGATTAGAAAAGGCGAGTTTTCAACTCAGTTAAGCTTTTAACCTCACCTGGGGCTGATTTGGGACTTCACAGCTTTTGGTACTTTTAGGCAAATGAGTAAAGAACATTAATTCATGGAACACCTTACTTGGAGAAAAGGTACAGTATACAGTAGAAGTGTCCTGGGACTTTAGTGTAAACCGTGTGGCATTCCAGACTACCCTCTTGGTAAGTTTGAAAGTTGATTTGATGTGTTAATTTTGGTGCCTACCCATAGTGGCACCAGCCAAAAAGGTATTGTTTGGACTCTAATTGGGACCAAATGCTTATGATGAAACAGCTGTAAAAGAAGTTGATGGTAATATGCTGAAGTTTTGTCCATAGCATTATTTTAACCATTGTCCTATGATAATATAGATAACTAGTTTAGAGAAACTTTATGGACAGTACTGTTTCTCGTTCTCTTACCCAGAGCCTATTTTATCGGTAGCTTTTGTGTCAGCAGTATTGATACTTTTTGTTGCTTTCATTAGTGGCAGCCTTAGTTTATTTGTCCCTGTTGCATTTTGATATGTTTGTCTTCGCAGAGAGATAATTACAGTGCTTATGTTAAAACCATTCTGTAATAATGCTTCTTAATCCTCATCCATGCTTTGTTTTATCCAAACATAACTGATATAAAGTTTAGATATCATTAAACCCTATATATTTTTAAGCATTCTCAGCTGTTATTAATTAATGTTAATGTTATTAATATTAAAGTTAGCCAGTACAATACAACTGACAAGTTTATATAATTTGTGTATAGACTGATAATATGCTTGTGTATGAGCAATGTATCAACAATGTTTGGAATAGAAGGGATAAAACATTCCATGAGCATTAGCCAAACAAAAGTCTTTAAATTAAATTCAAACTTTTTTTTACATTTTTGTACAGAGTATGAATAAGTTATAACTTCTGTCAACTTTTCTATTGCTAATTGCGTCCTTGCTGACATTTTCTGTCCAAGACAGAAAATGAAGGGAAAGCCAAATTGTTTTAGTTTTTACAAAAATTAGCAGAAAGTGTAAATCTTTTAATATGTGCGGGAAAGTGCAGGCTTACCTGAGCAGTCTTCCGGCAACTTGCTTCTGAGATCGGGCCTGTCTGTCGGCGGCTGTCATCCCCTCACAACTGCTCCTCCTTCCTTCTTCTCTCCGCTTTCCTGTGCCGATCGTGGATGTGGGCGGTGCGCATGAGGCGGGGAGGAGGTGCGGCTTGTGGATGCGGGCGGGCGGGTCTGGCAGCAGCAAGGGTGAGGCAGGGAGGAGGTGCGGTGTGTGGATGCGGGC